TTCAAGGTCAAGTGGCATTCAAAATCTACAAGAAAAGTTTAAAGAGAGTTTCTAGGCTCCTTGTGAAAGTCGCTGGCACAACACTCGTCATGAAAACAACTGAACTCTTCATTAACGGACAGTTCTTGTTGAAGACAGCCATTGCGGGTTTCGATATTCGGCTATTTTTGTTCTTGAAACAGTTTTCTACTTTGACAAATAACAGACTTAGACTTCTCTGAAATATATTTACAATTTCCTGAAATATATTTTGAAAAGATGTAGCTTTTCCTGCACGAAGTATGTTTGTACGCATAAAGTAATCAAATCGGCCCATTAGAGTATACGTTCGTATTTGTCAATGAATGGCTCAAACATAGGTACTTACATGTGTATGTACAAGTCCTTGAGAGGTATTATTGGCGTCAGCCTTGTTAACCTTGCTTTTAGAGTTTGATGTTGTAGTTGTGGCTGTTGTGTTGTGTGTAGACCTTGGCACACTCACCTGCTTCATTAGCCGACTACAGCATCTGCGCTTCATACTCAAACAGAAATTCGTATTGAATATGAATATGTATGTACTCGTATGTATGTGCGTGTGTAAACTAGCAGCTACTTTGGCTCAGTTGTGTACCAAAAAGGAATACATCCATCTATAAGAGAGTGAAGTGCAAGTAATTGAATCATTTGTCATAGTGTCAAAATGAAAAGCAACATAAAATCCCTAACTTGAAATAAACAATTTCATACTTGTGTTTGCGCATTGTTTGGACCCCTGTGTCCGTCACATTGGGCTTTGGGTAAATTCCAGCGGAAAGAGGCGAAAGAGGCATTAGGATGTAAACTTCTCAGGGAAAATTGAAAAAAAGTTTCATCACTTGGCATTGGTAGTTGGTGAGCGCTTTTCAGGGATTTCTTTTGCGACTTTTAAAATTCTTCACTCTTATTATTTGAATTGTAACATCAGAAAAAAAAGAAACACGATAGCCAACAAGTTAAATCAAGAATCATATATTGTAAGAAAATGTTTTCAAAAATTCCTTTTACTGACGAAAAAGTTAAAACTCCATTTGCGCCGACAAAAAATAGTTACATATGTACATATATATAGTCTTTATTCTTTAAAGTGAAGTCAGACAAGGAATTGATATACTTCTACCTTTCTGACACCATTTTCAAGAAGAAGTATTGTACCACATTTTTTTTTTTTAAATCGATTTTGAAAAGTTAAATTTCAGATTTTGAGTATTGGGTAGTGTTGCAAATGCGTATAAGTATATACATACATAAAATAATTTTGGGCTTCAAATATAGCTTAGCCTTGAAAAAAACAAACATTATGTAGTTAAATTTTTGCTTATTGCGCAAGGATGATTCATTTTCCTTCCCATTTTCGATTGCCATGACAATAAAATATAGTATGTACTGTCGCTTAAACAACCTTCATGCTCCGAATATAACTTTTTGAACTTTACAATAATTTTATAGGCAGTTTAAGAGCTTTTCCTTAAGAGATACGAAACGAAATAAAATTATCGAAGTGATTCATAAAAAAAAACCTTCAGCCGTTCGGAGGAGGCTTGGTATAAACTGTAGGTCCGTCCATTTGTTGAATAAACATCAAGCCGCAAAACCACAAATTGGAGGAGGAGTTTGGCCGAAAATCGCTTAAGCGGTTAAGCGGCTTCAGCGAAATTGATTAGACTCATTTTAAGACCTGTAGCTGCATGGAGAGTTGTTTTCGCAGTCTTTTACGGCAGAGTTCAGTTGACGGTTTCAACAAATGCACTTTTTCCTGTCGCCCTGGAAATAACTCCATCAGTAATAGGCATTCTGTAAAAGACTTTGGAGAAGTAGCATTTCAGTTGAAAATGACTACAATGAATACTAAAAAGATATATTTTTCAATTCCAACAGTCAGAAGGCAGTCTGGCTTGAAAGGCACTGAAAGCTTCTTATAGAAAATTATAAAGATATCCGCCGGAATTGGCAAGCAGATGTATGGAAACTTAAAAAAAGAATACAAAAAGAGGATAGCAAATGGAAAAGTTTGAAGGGGGGTTTTAAAAAAAAAAAAACATTTGCGACAAAACATCTGTAAGACCAAATGCCACTTCCAGTTTTGCGAAGTAATATGATCGAGTATGTTCGATTTTTTTATTCTTCTATTGTGTGCAGTAATATTTTTTGAAATGAATTTACAAAAATCATGGTAAAGAGTGTCTCAGTATTTCCGCCAATTATTTTAGGCTCACACAACTAAGTAAAAAGCAGCAGTGAAACATTAACCGAAACCGGAACTACTGCTGAACTAGTTAAACGGTTTTGGGGGAAAAAATTACCTATATTAACAATGTTTCAAATTTTCAGAAAATATGGGCGTTGAGCAAATGCTAACATTACTGAGGAAAATATTTTAAATTAAAATTGCAGTAACTTAACATCCTTAACTCGTGTGCCTCCTATGGCCAAGGAAATCAGGGTGTTAGAGGGAAGAAAAACGAAGGAAAAATGCGAAAAAATATATTTCGGAAGTGATTTTGAATTAAAACTAACTATTACTGCACCTATCTTATTAAACTGGAGTTGGTTAATTATTCACATAAAAAGAGCACATATATATATCCCCATATATATATTTACGCAAAGCTCCATCACGCACAGTTTGAATCCAGTTGACGTCATCACCGTTATCTATTTCAGATGCTGCATCAATTAACTCCAAATTATCGTCACACAAATTATGAAGTACAAAGTGGCAAAATATTTCGATTCCCCTTAACTCGCTGTAATATAAAAGACTAAACCTTTGCTTTAGCAACCCAAATATATGTATGTTATTGTTAAGGGAATATTGCTGGAATGACAGTCTTTGGCCGGATAAAAATCCGTGTCGTTCCAGTATAATGACCCGACTGTCGCGGGTCAATTTTTGAGATTCGCTCGCAGTTTCTTATAAAAATTTGTTTAATTAGCTGCTAAGTTCACATTAGCCTTCTATGTAGTCTTAATGTAATTCGTGCAGGGATAAACAGAATCTTCTAAGCTATAATATTGATGAAACGCTGTTGGCGACCTGAGGTAACTATCTTAGTGTTATAACACACAATCATTATGTGCTGATCCTTTCCCACTTAACTTAACTTAATCCAGTGCGCAGTGCGAAGTATCTAGATATACGAGAGGATTAACAAAAGTTTCGTCAGTTTGTGACTTTCACTCTGTTTTTGTTAAATCTAAAAATACCAAATCTTTTGAAATTACTTTATTAGTCTCCTCTCCCATTTAAAGACGATCGGCCAAAATGGAGAAGAGAAAACGCAAGATAGCTGAGGCTACGTCAGATGAAATTCCATCACCAACGCAAACAAAAATTCCCTTCGGGTTTTGGTGTAATTTACAGCCAACAAAAATATTTAGTGAATGTCAAATGCATATGGAGTGAGTGCACTATCTTTAAAGACTATTTCTAAGTGCTCCCGAAGATTCCAGTCAGGACATTTTTCCGTAGAGGACGTGCTTCGAGTAGGTCAAAAAAAATCTCCCACTGATGACGTCACTGGCTGAATAAGGCTTGAATACCATGGTTGTATTAGGTAATCATCTGGCATACACGAAAAAATCTGCTAGATGGGTTCCACGAATTTTAAATGAAAGAAACGAGGCTAGAGTGCATTTTGTTCAATTTTAATACGACATTCGATTTGAAATTTTAATACGTTATTTTTAAAGGTGTAATCTACCGAAATATGGATAAAATTCACACTAGGTGTGTCCCTTAAAAAGCAAGATTTTGAAGACTGTTGATCTCATACTTCCAAGTGTTTTGAGAATTCCTACACAGAAAGTATGAATTAGACTCAAGCATTCTGTCCTCTTTTTAGTCCCTTTCAAAATTCTTGCAACTATTACAATATTCGATAGCTGCATCACAATCGTTAATCGCTTGTTTCTAATGATCATCATGTTCCGGTAACTGTAATTGCTGGCATACTTCTCAAAACCGTACTAATGCGCAGTGACTCAAATGTAGTGGAACTGTGTACTTTATGATTCAAATGGTGATTCACCGTAAAACAACGAAAGTTATCGATTTTCATATATCGCCGATTATTTCAGCACTGTGCAGTTGATGTGCACGTGCCGATGTTGGCAGAACGACTCAAGTTTCATCGCTTCAATCAGGCCAAGCTTTGATCTGTAAATATACTCTTACTTGCGAGATGCGGTCAATGGCGATGAAAATGTGAGAATCCTTGGCCGACTCACGATTTCGCAATCGGTTCTTTCGACCGATATTAGCGCGACCATTTCGTGGCATCGTTTACCTTTTGAAATTCAACGATTCAAATAATATATAAATCAGCTAAAGAAGTAACATAAATAAATTCCCATGGAAATGAGGTTAGGTATATTCATGAACAAACGAAAACTATTGGAATAAACAAATCAGAAAGAAAAAACAAAAATTTGGCATGCCTTTGAAAAAACAAATTAAATTAAAATTATATCTTATTGCAGTAACGTTTTCAATTCAAATAAAAAAATAAACAAATGAGAAAAGCAAATATTAAACAAAAAATTATTAAATTATTAAATATTTTCGCGGCTACAATAACAACAATAAAGGTATTTTCTTTAATTTAGTACTGCAAACCAATTTATTATGTGTGTATGTATACTTGTATTACTATTTTACTGACAAATAAAATTTCATTCTTTTTACTTACAGAATACATAACCGTGATAGTAACTATATATATGTATGTAAATCAAAATAACAAATAATCTTCATAAAGCACAACAGCACGTATTACGAAAAGCAATAAACTACAAGGGATATACTGAGTACATAGTATGTATGTGTGGTAAACTCATGTGATGAAATATAAATAAACAAACACCAAAAACACCAAAGAAAATCAAAATAAAATAAAACATTGTTAATATTTACATATTTATGAAAAATTCTTTTTACAAATATATAAAATAATTATTACATATTAGTGGAAAGTCCATATATAAAATAATACCCGCCAAGATGTCTCTAACGGTAAAGATTTTGCAGTTTCAGCTGCCGAAAGCTAAATCAAATTTAATAGCACGCGTCGAGTTTCGAGGTAAGTTCGAGTAATTTAAAAAAAAAATACCATTTTATATATCAAATAAGTTGCATGCCTGACTCATTGGGTCCAACATTGACGATAACACATTCATACATAGTATTGCCAAAGCCGCTGCACTATCTATTGTGTCTCCTGTGTGAAGAAAATTGTTGTTCGTCTCGTAGTCCTTCTGGCTGCTTAACATTTGCCGATTGAAGATTCTGTAGACTTTCTGCGCCAAGTAAGCATAGCCTTTATCTGCTGCATGTTAGACACTCACAGATTAGGTGGAACCCTGTCTCCACACATGCCTTTCATTTCTTGCACGTGTTGTACCCAGTCAGACCTATCTTAAAAGCTTGTAACTCCAAAAGGCAATGCACCGTTAATAGTCATATCGGCTGAATTCCATCCTCTTAACAGATAGTAGAAACATTGCAAGTATAATGCGATTTGTGCATAGTTTTCCCGACTCTGTAGCGCTCAGCTCGTTTCCAAAATCTGTTCGCCTGCAGAAGTAGTATGAATGGAACTGAAAGGTTCATTACTATATCCTGTTCTAAAAAGACACCCTTTTCAGCCAATTCGTCAGCTGTCTCGTTACTTCAATACCCGTGCGATATGGCATCCAGTAAATGTTGTTTTCAGACAGTATTTGAATCGCTTCTTTCCTAGTGCGACTACAACTGACTACGTGCTGTATGAAATAAAGGCATCTATCGCCGTTTGGCTAACCACAAGTGTACATAGATGTATATTCTTTTCCTTTGAAAGCCAGTAAAAGGCATTAGCTATGCCGCCTTTTTGTAGCAAATATTTCGACTTGGAAGAAACTGCATTAGTTTGGTAGCTTATACGACTTTCTTAGCTCTATCCCCACTCTTTCAGTCATTTAGAATTAACTCTAAAAACATGCAGAGCTTTACCAGCACATTTTAAATCTTTGCTACAGCCATTCGACTCTCACAACTGCTTTCCGAAACACAGGCGCAGAAATAGTTATTAGTCTACCCGTACGCTCAGGGATAACGCTATACTAATGGTCCCTCACCTCATAACCTTCAGATTCGCAACAGTAAAGAATGGTCTGTTTTTAGCTATAAAGCTTGCTGGTGTTGCGTTCTTCAATTGCATAATGCTCCCAATTGAAACCGACAATCTCGTAATTGTCGTTTTCAAAAAGTACCAGTTAGTAAGTTTATTTTCGGTGTCATGACCGCTATTCAATTATTTGAGTATGCTCGGAGACCCAAATGTGAAAACTTTGCTTATTTACATACATATCCTCCGAGTGAGAAATTTGGTTCATCGCTGATGTCCATAAATTTTGATCCGTCTTTTGCATATTGTTCAAGCACCCAATCGCCCCAAGTACGGTCAGCTCGCTTAATTTGGTGTGCGAGAGGCACTTAATATGGATGTGGATGTAAGTTCAAGTGCAAAATGCACCATAATGTGCCGTTAGAAAGACTCGAGCAAAAGGCACATTTGGGTCTTCGGTCACATTTTCACTTACAGTAGCGATATTTGAGATGGAACGAGCAAAACTACGATATTAGGCCTTACAGAATCTGTAACCGATCCAGTTTCTTCAAAAATTTTTAAAATTTCAAAAATTGCTTGAATAGTTTGACGAAACGTGGCCGCGTTTTAATCACGATTGGTGTAGGTTTTTTTGACTGGTTGTGCGGTTGTTAAGCGATCAATTTTCATAAAAACCTAACTTGTAGCTAAAAAAAACATATCTGTCTTGACTGGTGTACTTTTGAAGTCACGAAATGAATAACCCTATACGTTCATATGTCACATACAATACTCGTATATTAATGAAATAACACAACCGAGACGTGAAGTTTTCTAACTCAGCTTGCACACATTCTTCGGCGGCGCATAGTAAATGAACAAAAAATTCCACGCATAGTTAAAATGACTGATTCATGAAAGGGTCTGCTATGCTTAGAATCTGAAATATACAGTTACCTTTTGTGCTCAATGTGCACGTATCGCACGCACCAGAGAATTTAATATAGTGTGAGGTAGTATTTGAATCTTTCTACTGTTAAATTTTAACTAAACATATTGGTTGACATAGGTATATATACTCTTATGTACATAATATAAAACTATCGTGAACTAACCAATCAAAGCATAACCCGAGGGAAAACTTATATATGCATTAATTTGCAATGTACCGCTTTTATGTACGCGAATTGGCGGATACGGGATGGAATAAAGGGAAGCAAATTATTTCTTCTTTTTAAATATATTCACCTGCAAGACTGATACATTTTTCAAATCTTTCAATTAATTTATTTTACTATTCAAAAAATGTTTTCTCACTGTTGGTGAGCTTGTTAATGATTTCGCGCTACCGCACAGTGGTTTAAAGGAGGCGCAAAATGCAGATTAATTCTCATAAGCTTTCCAGTTACGGAAATATAAAAAAAAATGAATAGTTAATTAATCATGAAGAAGTAAAAAAGTAATGTAATTATAGTTATTTGAATAATTTTTTTTATATCATAAAAACACAAAAACAAAGTCCTAATACCTTTTCAACCACCATTTCCTGAGGGGATTCGAGGCTTATTTCGGTATCAATGGCTTTGACCTTCAACGCGTTTAATAAATTTTGAGAACTTGACCGTTAATTTCTGATGTAAAAGCCACCCTTACACTGAAAATAGATGACGTCAGTCACAAGCTGAACAGCATCTTCTATCGTGTTGAGCATATCATCAACGTAGTGGCTCTTGGCGACACACTTGGATACTGACTGTAGAATCCTTCCGCGTTTAGGTTTTCGACATATTGGGCGCTACTGAGTGAGCATGTTGCACCGAAAGTCATGACCGTTATTACAAATACTGACGGTTCGCCATCGACCGGCTTAAGTCACACAAAGCGTTGGTAGTTTTGGTCTTTGGGTCGGATCCGAACTTTGTGATACAACTCTTTATATCGCCGCTTACTGATATCGATCGCTGACGAAATCTCCTCAGCATGGACACAAGGAACGTTAACTGATCAGGTCCCTTTAAAAGCATTGAGTTGAGAGATATCTCCTAAGTTTTCGCTGCCGCGTCCAATAGGATGCGGAGCTTTCCTGGCTTGTTCTGGATATGCACAGGAAAAATTGGTAAATACCAGCACCTTTTCTCGATTAGCGATTCAACTGATACTTCAAGCTTGGTGTGTAACGTGTGATATGCGGCAGATGGAGGTTGTTTTACGAGTATCCCTTGAGGGTTCACCCGAGGCGCGCCTTCTCTGCTATCGGCTCGTTGTCATAACCCTTGCGGGCCTAGACGACTGTTATTCAAACCGATCAGCAGTTTGGACATGGCATCAACGTCATCGATTGAACAACAAAAACAATAACAAAAATTACCACTCCGTGTAACCCGTTTTGACTCGATTGAGACCGATAGATTAAAAAAATCAACACGGTTGTACATTTATCGCATACTAGTTACATCATGTGAAAGAAAGCAATTAATGCAAACTGGGATTTAAAAGAATTATTCGCAGTCGTTCGAGATGTGTTCTGTGAACTGACAATGAAGGAAAGATCATACTTTCTCACACATAAATTGATGTGTGAAAAATTTGTGGCTTTCTTCTCATAAATCTATATCTATACAGAATAGAACTGAGGGATTGATCTTCAGCATCAACCACTGAACGAAGATACTCCTAACTTCGAGGGCTTATTCTGCGTAGGACATTTGCCCAGGATAAGAAAGGATTTTCCAGGAAGTGGGAAGTAGTCCTGTGATTGAACAAAAAAATATAATTTATTTTTAATTCATTTGATTTCCATGAAATTTTGTACAGAAGTAGCCTCCTGCCAAATTACCATTGGGTACAATTACGATCTCAATTCCTTGGCAGAACAAACATATACAAATACATATTTGTCATATGGGGTTAGAGATCTATTCTTTTAGATGCTCTTGGTGGAATAAGCAATACTTTCGTTAAAGCTATTGTTGGCCGAAGTAAGTAAATGGTCGCATCGTGCGGAGTCGCAATTTTAGATTGTGCTTATTGTTCCGGATATACAAAGGGGGAACGCGATCGGACGTAGTTAATACATTTGCCTTCACCGAAAAGTATTAAACTCACAAGAATATGAAAGACCAAAAAATGAGCAAGCCGCAGTCATAAAAGATATATAAATTTGGTTGCATTCATATCCGGTAGAGTTTCTTAATGCACTAAAACCTCCCGGTCGCCTAACTCACATATTGAAATATTTTCTTAAAAATACATCATAATTTTTTTTATATTCAAGTTTATATAATTGGCGCTTTGTAACCGCTTAAGGGGCACACCTAGTGTGAAATTTAAAAAAATCGATCTTTTTTTCATATAAAAATTTCAAGCGATATTTCAAATAGTTTTTGAGTTGTAGCAATTTAAAGTGCAGCCGCTCGGCAGCTAGAGAGTCTCATTAGCTACGAGAGAAAACGATCATTTTATCCTTAAACGCGTTTTTCTCGAAACAGCATTTTCCCAATTTGCTACAGTGATTATTCAAAAACAAATGATCCGATCACTATCGAATTTTTTTAAATGTTCTATATACAGTTCCCCTATCGATTTTTAATCTGATCCTTTTGGCAGGCCAAAAACGACCAAAATTTTGGGTAAAATTCGACTATTTTCTTAAAACGCCGTCATATTGTCAATTTTTGATTTTTTTTTATCGTAAGTCATTGTACAGACAATATTATCCAGTAAAGATTTTTTTTGTTTTAGATTTCATCCACAGAGAAGGCCGGAATCACTGCAGCAGTGAAGGACCTTTTTTTTAAAAAATATTCAATTTTTTTCTTCAAAAATTTTAACTGTATATTCTTGAAACATGTATAAATGTATTCTTAAATTTTTGAAATAATTCATAAAGTATTTTTTTTAATAAAAATTCTCAAAAATCACCTTTATTAGGCCATTACACTAGGTGTGGCCCTTAATCGATATTCGTCCGAGCTCCTCTTCAAATTGTGGTA